CAAGACAGACATGATCAGTCATCTCAAACGCCACATCAACAAGGGTGAGACGGAGGCCAGTTATTCAGGCAGCTCGGATGTCCCCTTTGAAGACCCTGGTGAGCCTTTACTCTGTTGATGTTGACAGAGTGCCAGACTTGCCATTCAAGGAGAACTGCCTGTACTAGATACCAGTTTGTTGATGTGGAATAATGTAGATGGTTCCATTCGAGTTTTTTTTGTTTTTTTTTTGCGTGTCTTTTATCTTGCATTTAAACCATGTGTATTCAGGTAGGGTAAGAATAGTCAAATCTAACCTAAACCATAAAGCACTCACGTTTTCAGGATCAATGTGTTCTGGAGTAACATTCTGTAGAAGATCCCCTTGTGGTTGTTCATGATTAGGCCTTTGGTTTGCAGTTTAAAGTAAAGTCTTACAGGAGGCATCTGTAACAATAAAACACTTCTATTCATTACAATATGTGCGTACGCATTTAGCTGCGTTAATTGGAAATAATTTGTCCATTTTGATTTTCTACATCTTTCTCAGTCCCAGGTGGACAGGCTTATGAGATTATGAAAGAGTTGGGCACAAATGTCCAGCTCCTGCCCAACCACACCACTCCCCAGAAGACAGACACCTACTTCAGCCGCAAGATGAAGACAAACAGGTTTTAGAATTGTTCTTTTTTTCTGCAAAACAACTTATTATCGGATTGTATATTGTCCTGCCAACATTAAATATTTATTTGTTCTTTAGCATCTTAAATGTAACTTTGGTTGAAATTTGCTTAATATATATTTTAATGCTAAAAATAATTTAATACCTATTTTATAAATTAAATAATATTTAATATTGTATTTATTTTTTCATAAAAAATATATACAATTTAGAAAAAAAATATTCGGGTCCTATGGGTCAAGGACATCCTGTTGGAAAATCCTATAATAGAGTCAAAAAAATGCTAAATAAATAAACATTATCTGTATGTAATTGTTGTAGGCAGCTGGTGTTCTGCTCTCTCGCTATTCTTGCTGAGGAGAGGAATCCACTCGAATGTCTCGATGCCTTTGGAGCCACTGGTAGGAAATCTACTAATAGCTAATAGCTCATGATGATAATATCACTGCTCAGGTTTTGCTCTAAATTATTTGATAAAAATTAAAGTATACCACATCATAACATATTGATCCCTTTTGTAGGTATCATGGGTTTGCAGTGGGCAAAGCATCTGCGTAACACTGTAAAGGTTACTATAAATGACATAAACGAAGCTTGCGTTAACATGATTAAGGAGAATTGTCATCTGAACCACATCCGAGTAGAGGGGAATCGAACGGGCCGGCAGCTAGATGGAGCGGGAGATGCAGACTCACCCATTGCTTCAGTAGAGGTGGTGAAGATGGACGCCAATGTCATCCTGCACCTGAGACCCTTTGACTACATGTAAGTAAGAGACTGAAAAATAATGACTAAAAACATTGTACCCATGATTGTTTTTTGCAAATATCTTGTCTCACCACATTCTTGTCTTTAAATCAGACACCTTGACCCATTTGGAACGGCTGTAAACTATCTGGATGCTGCTTTTCGCAATGTTCGGAACTTGGGCATAGTCTCGGTGACGTCGACAGACACTGGTTCGCTTTACTCCAAATCCCTGAATGTGACGCTTCGGCATTACGGCTGCCAGATTGTCCGAACCGAGTATTACAGGGAGCTCGCAGCACGTATGATATTGGCATCAGTGGCCAGGTGGGCAGGTTTTTCTCTAATGAATCACCAAACACAAATTTAATTTATTTGAGTGTCTTTTTAATGCATGTACTTGCAGTGCTGCTGCACGCTGTAACAAAGGGATCGAGGTGCTATTGGCCGTGGCTCTTGAGCACTTTGTCCTCGTGGTGGTGCGAGTTCTCAGAGGGCCCACCCAGGCAGATGAGTCTGCTAAGAAACTGCGGCAGCTGTTGCATTGCCAGTGGTGTGAAGAAAGAGTGTTCCTCAAGCCAGGAAGCATGGTGGAAGGTGACAAGGCATTTAGACAAACAAATAGCTGCATCCTGATAGTTTTCCTGTAGCCCAAACAGTTGAGCCAGTAATGGCAAGGTCATGGGTTTGATTCCCAAGGAATGCTTGAACTGATCAAATGTAAAGCTGTCAAATGCATAACGTCTTAGCATAAATAATCACATTTCTGCTTGTGGTATTAACAGAAAACCTGTACAGACAGCTGCCTTGCCAGTGCCATGGGAGTATGCCAGGAAAAACTGCAGTAGAGCTTGGACCACTTTGGTGAGATGGTGTCATTCATAATTTTTTTTTTTTGTTCATAAAAACACTTGATTATGTGTAATTCCTTCATTAATTGCTCTTAAATTTTCTTCCTTTTCCCCTTTTGTATTCGTTGTTTCATCCATCAGGGCTGGTCCTTTGTTTAACACTGGATTTCTGAGGCGGATGTTGGTGGCGGCAGTGCAGCACAATATGGAAGACATCCAGCCTCTGGTGAAGACTCTCATCTGTGAAGCTGACTGCACCACTCTCAAGCTTTTCCCTGTCCCGGGATACTCTGCCCTCTCCAACCAAGGTGTGTTTGGGTGTGCAAGATTTTGTCCGTCACTTAACATTCAGTCCAACTGGAGACGATGAATCAGCTTTTTTAACAACGGGGCATTGACTTTAATTTAATTTAATATTATTCTGTTAATTTTGACACATCTTTGTCTCTAGTGGAGTGTGGTGTGGTCATAAAAACTTTACAGAAGGTTGAAGAAGTAGATCCATCTGACCAATCAGGTATTTGTTGCTTTATCAACATTTTTTTTATCTGCTGTTCTCCTCCCTACTCTCAGGGATTTAACTTTTCCTAGTTATCCAATATTAAAGGGATAGTCATCCAAAAATTAAACATCTGTCATCATTTACTCACCCTCATGTCTTTCCAAACCCATAAGCCTTACGTTTATCTTTGAAACACAAATGAAGATATTTTTAATGAAACCTAACAGATATCTGTCCCTCCACTGCAAGGCCATTACACCAAAAATTTCACAAAGAGAGCATAAAAGTAATCCATGTGAATCCATAGTTTAATCCAAGTCTTCTGTAGAGACATGATCATGTGTTGAACACAGATAAACACTGATCAGTGCACATATATAGAGATCATCAAATATGCTAAATGGAAGCTCAAACGTGCTTGGGTGAACTATGCCTTTAAGTGGAATTTATGGTAGAATAAAAATTGAAGTGGATAGATTGTATAGAAAATATGGTGCATCTTTTTTTTATTCAGGGAAAAGAAAGACCACAGGGGAGGACTCTGGGAATGTGCTGAAGAAAATCAAAGCAGATACATCTTTGGAGCATCCAGCGTTCTACTACAGCATCCATCGGCACAGCATCCGCGGCATGAACATGCCCAAGTTAGTCAGCGCAAACCTCTCTATACACTGTCATATATTGCTGTACAGTGATACAAATGCCATAATGCAAGCAGGATCTGACACTAAGCTCTGTTCCTCAGGCTCAATAAGTTCCTGCAGTATCTCACAGAGGCCGGGTTCAGAGTCAGCCGCACACACTTTGACCCAACAGGCGTGCGGACTGACGCCATCCTGGCACAGTTTAAGGAAGTGCTTACAAAATACAGCGTGCCTACATACTCGTCCGCCCTTCAGAGCAGCGCTGTCAGCTCAGAGCGACGTCAAACTCTCTGATTTCAGATATTCATGAAACCAAGCCAGAGCTTGGACCGCACAAAGGTCACCTGCTTTTTTCTTTGGCTGTTTTTATTGTTGAATTTTCCTGTTTGCTTTAGAAAGTTTGTTTCCATGACAACTTGATAAGTTGTGGATAAGAAACAACAGTTTCATCTGAATGAAAAGGGTTGTTCCAGTTTGCTTGATGTTTTTTTGTGGATTGCACTGAGGCTTTGACCCATTACGGGCATACAGTATTTTATTAATCATTCTATGCTGACACTGATGCAGTATTGACTGTTATTCTATGGTTTTTACATTTTTAATCTCTAAAAATATTTATAAAGACCCTCTCAAAGGTTTATATTGATCTTACTTGATCCGATTTTCTATTCCACTTCATTTTCGCTTCAATATTTTACCTGGTTGCTATAACGTCAATAAAACATTTCACATCATATATTGTTCTTATAATTTGAGAAGACTGACATTGAGAACATTGCTTTGGTGAATCACAAACAACAATAACAACAAAAATGTCCAGGCCACATTTTACTTCAAAAACAACAGAAAACTAAGCATACGTTTAAGACTATTAATGAATTCACTTTTGGGATTGTACATTATCTTATCATTTTCACAGTAATTAAGTCATAGTAATTAAGGGGACACATGTTTTAGAGTTATTAAAATGCAAGAACGAATTATGGTAAAAACATTTTTTTTTTTCATTAATATTTATATTTGGGGTGAAAAAAGGATTTGGGTTTGTCCACAGGTTTTATGTGATTCATCAGCTTGAATTATTGTCCTGTGAAAAGTCTTTTCACATAAATTAGTGCCACACCAGTTTCATTTGCATAGTACAATGTCTAGACCTTCCTGAAATGCACTAAAATTAACTAACTGGTATGTTCATTTGAATAGAAACTGTGGTGATAGACCTTAATGGGATCAAGTCTGTCTAGTATGTCAAAGGTGTATTGTATTTCACAAACAAATCTGTAACAACATACCATGGTTTTTCTTTGAAGTACCTTGGATGACAACTTAATGATAACCTGATCATTTCACACAGCGAACACTGATGTATAAAGCACATATCACATAGCATGTTATTTCCATGAAATCAAAGGAAGTGTGCCAAAACTTAATGAGCTCCCTAGACAACATTCTGTGTATCACAGGCTGACAGCTCTTTAGATTTTAAAAGACAGCCCTTTAATGTCCCGGTGTGACTTTTTCATTCATGCCCCTCCCACCTTCCTGAAATATAACACCTGCTTTCAGATTCTCCCTCAGTAGTAAATACAGTGACAGAATCTTCTTCGTCAGAGCATAGGAGCGCTCACCTGAAGCAGAGCAGTATGGGAGCATCATCCAGTTTACTGGATGAAAATAAATCCAACTATATAAAAGGTATGTGTTGTAGGAACTTTATGTGGTCATTCTAAGTCATTAAGTGGTTTTGGGATTTATCTTAAAATAGTTTTAGTGTGGAAATAGCAGTAAAAGATGTTTGTACACTGACGTTTTATTTTCTGATGCTTCTAAATAGTTAATAATAATAATAGGTTGCTCCAAACTTTTCTTTATACTGCAATGATATGGGCAGAGAAAGAGGGTGGATATTATTGAAATGCATAAGATGTTTTCAACTGTCCTAAATTGCATGGCCTCTCAGTGGTAGAATTTTTTTTTTTTTGAATTTGGACTTGTAAATGCCTCATTGGACAATGACTATCATTAGTGCCAATCAGATAACTGCAGTACTTAACCTGCACAGCTGAAAAGTGAGAGGCAGAAACCGGTTTATTTTCTTCTTCTGGCCATTGTAAACTATATGGGTGGAGGTTTTGGTGTGTGAGTGTGTGTGTGTGTGTCAGAGAGTGTAAAGGATTAAAAGCAGCTTTGCTATTTGCTCAAATGGAAAAACACCGTAGACCTGTCAGCTGACAAAACATGCTGAAAGAGCATTACAGTACTGAGGGTGTTGTTGAAATGCATTTTTAAACTACATTTAATCAGCCAGATATTTTTTGGTTAAATCTCAAATCCTGAATAAGTGGTTACACTAATTTTGATGTGCATATCCTAATGTAAAAGCATTACAATATTTTAGTCCCATCACAGTAAGTTTAATCATTTGTATTTTTATATCTATGCATTTGACGTTCACTTTTATTGAAAGCAATTTACAGAGCATTCAAGCTAGTGTATATATTTTGCCAGTCCGTACATTCTCAGGTAACTGAACCTTGTTCCACATGGATTGATAACAGTATTGTTAATATAGAATAGAATAGAATCTATATTAACCTATATTACATTCAAAATTTGGTGCAGAAATGGCCAACAATAGACTTAACTAGCAAATTTTTTGGACAACACCACACTTTTTACAGTCTGTTTTAGTTCCACAGCATATACAGATTTTTTTTTGTTTTTTTTTGACAAGGTAATGTAAGTAAACCCATAATGAATATCTGATAAAGACTCTAAGAGCAACTTTGTCTAAATGTGGACAATTGTACTGCTTATCACTCCCTCAAATATTAGGTTACATGGAGTGTCAAAGACATATTCTGCATTTTTTTTCAGAAAATAATAAAATAATACTTTTTACATCACACTCCCTGAAATTATTTATTTCAATGAAGGGAAAATGTTGGTAAAATTAGATTTTTCTAATATTTAAACAAAATGGTGAGGGTTTTCCATCACACTAAAGAGCTAAATCAATCAAATTACATGACTTTATATTTAGTATCCTGTTAATTATGTTATGAAAACACAAATGGGACACAAATGTGACCACTTCCTGTGAATTAGCCGACAGTAAACTCAAGTGCTGTGCTTTCACACTTAAGGTGAAAAGAGAGTGTGTGGTCAACAGCTGCACATTGTCAAGGATGTTAAAAAAAAAAACTCTCACAAACAAGGTGTTTACGAACATTCCCGTCAACCTTGTACTCTTGTAGAAGTGTAATGATGTCTGTGTTGAGGTATGTTCATACAGAACTGGCTTTGCAGGTCATGCTGTGTCATAACGTCTATGATAGGCCAAGTATCTTACACGTCAGAGCTCAAGAATTCAAGAAATCTCAAACCACAGTTCCTTTCAAAACAATTAATCTCTCTTAAAAATAAAACAATAATTCAAAGAAGACTGCAAGAAGAGACGTACAGTACACTGCAGAGAGAGCAAGAATATGATAATAGAGCAGCTTGTTACAGTACTTTCACTCCATTGTGAAATATGTTGGAAGTGAGTGCCGTAGCTCTCAGCTGTCATCTAAATTTAGTTGCATGTTACGTAATGCAAGAATCTGAAAACGTATAAAAAATAATACAAGGAATTTAAGAAAGTAGGAACACCCTCTCAGAGTGGACATTCTGGTTTGGGTGTTAAATCTGAAAGTTCAGTTTCAGGGAAACGATTAATTACACATACTGTATTATTAACATTGCAAAATGTTTACATCAAGACAAATGCTTTTAAATTCATACATTTGTTGTTGTTGTTAGAAAAGATTCTCACTCAAGACTGTCATGATATATTTCTTATATTTCTTTTTGAAAACATTATATAAACAGTTATGAGAAGAGGTTGTGCTGTAATGCAAACAGTCAGAATGTTACTCAGAACATGCAGCCTTCTGCCATGACTAAAGTGCCTTATTACTTAATAAATACTAATAAAATATTAAAGACACAAATATTCTTTACAAGTAGTATCAATAGTTTAAAGTAAATAAGTATTCTTTTTATGATATCAAAAACTGTATGTTATACCACGTATATGCTGTATTGACCAGTCAGCACCCAGAACTGGAAATATCCATTTTAGAATTAAGATTATATATAGTGATATTATAACAATAATAGTGATACCTTCCATTGCCTGGAGATTATTCATACACAGTGCCTCATGAAAGTCATGTTTATGTGTTATGCATGTCCGAATGCCTGCAAAAAAAGCTTCTTTTGAGCCTCACGTCCAGATCATTTAGACAGTCTGCTGTGAGTTTCCTCTCCACTCACCATCATGGACAGCACTGTGGCTGCAGCAGAGTCATTCAGGTTCCTGGGCACCACCATCTCTCAGGACCTGAAGTGGGACACTCACATAGACTCCATTGCTAAAAAGGCCCAGCAGAGGCTGTACTTCCTTCACCAACTGAGGAAACTCAACCTTCCACAGCTGAAACAGTTCTACTCGGCCATCATTGATGTGTTCATCCATAACTGTCTGGTTTGGTTCAGCTACCAAATCAGATATCAAGAAACTACAACAGACAGTCAGGACTGCTGAGAAGATTATTGGTTCCCTCTGCCCAACCTCCAAGATCTTTACACCTCCAGAGTGAGGAAAGCGGCTAAGAAAATCACTTTGGATCCCTCACACCCAGCCAACTCTCTCTTTCAACAGTTGCCCTCTGGTCAGCGCTACAAAGCACAGACCACCAGAACAGCCAGGCACAAGAACAGTTGCACTATGTCTGTACTTTATTCTGCACTGGAAGCTCTTGTCGCCAAGACAAAATCCTTGTGTGTGTAAACATACTTGCCAATTAAGCTCTTTCTGACTGTACCTATTTTGTATCAGATGTTATTGTAGCAGTTTCCTCTAGTTTGTGTGTTTCGCGCTAGTTTTAATTGCGCTGTTAAATCATGTTACAGTTTTGTGGGTAAATCAAGCTACAGATGGCTTACTTACAGGTATAGAAAGACATATTTGAAAATAAAAACAGTAAATAATGGCAAAGTCAAAGTTGAGTTCATGCTAAGCAAATATCTTTTAATAGTGTAATGATCTCTGGATTGTGTTGCCTTGCAGGGCAAGTGGACGAGAAAATGAAGGAGTTTGCACCGATTTATAGGAAACAATATTCTCTGGCTTACCTGTCCCAGATCCGAGATGAATTTGAGCAACGCAAAGAGGAGCGCACACAGTTTCTCAAACAACGGGTAGGAATCAGATCCCATGTATGGATAAACTCCATACAAAGAAGACATATGTATCATTAAGTCAATGACCATTTCTTCCTCTTGAGACAGACTCGTTATTGTTATTTACCCAGGCCTCTCCAGAACCTGGAAAGGTGCTGTATGAAGAGAATGTGCATTGCTTTGATGACAGCAGGAGGTGGAAGGTTAGATATATAGTAATCCGTGCCACTTACGTCCTGGAGTGCTACGAGAGCTACAAGGTATGAGCCATCATCCACCATCTAACAGCGAGCTTTTGCTGACTGAGGTAATGATAACATTTACCCCATCATCTCTTACCTGCTTTCCTGCAGACGTTTTTAAAAGGGTCAGCTCCACTACACAGACTGATGCCTACAGGGGGCACCATTCTGACTACAGAAGAGAAATACATGGAAATGATTGACCAGTGCTGCCCTTGCACTAACAGTGAGTACAATTAGAGTACATGCATATATTTTAAGTGAGCTAATTTTACACTTAAATAAAGACAGACTGTCTTTTCGTTATTGAGTTCAGTATCTATGGTACAAAGTTAGTGTCATTATCCAACTCAATTCACTTAATTTTTTTTTTCATTCAATAGTGTCACTGCAGTTGAATGGATAATATTACTGATTATTAATTTTCCTTGTAAACCTCCTTCATTACTGATGGAATGACAAATGATAATAATAATATATAATTGTGTACTGAATAATTCTCTTATGCTCACCCAGGCTGCATTTATTTAATCAAAAATATCTTTGTTTTCAATAGAAATTAGAAATAGAGCCTCGGCATGAAATCAAAAATGACCCCATTTATTTTCTTTATGCATCTTAATCGTCTTATGTTGAATGATTCTTTCATGCATTACATTAAAGTAAAAACTTTAAAACACTCATAAATTGACAAAAACAAAATTCTAAACAACATAATTTGTTTTTTACATAAACATAACGGTAGAGTAAAATGTGGCTGTGTTGTGATGCAGATGTCCAGGAAGATTTTGCACCTCCTGTGGTGGGCATGCCAGGGCAGTTCCCGGTTTATCTTAGACTTCCATACCGCCAGGATTTCTATTTCTGTTTCCGAGATGAGAACTTTCAAGTTGAATTCATCTCCATCTTATCTGACTGTGTTCGCCACCAGAACAAAGGTATCACTTTCACTACAATGAAACCACAGTAGGAAGGTGTAACCAGTGAAAGCTGTAGTGTGAAGAAATATATCATATTTGGTCCATTCAACAGATTTTCTCAAGAAGAAGACATGTGAGGTTAAGGCTTTTCTCAAAGCCATTCAGCTCTATGGGCAGAAGAAAGGCCAGTATGAATCATGGGATATGCTCACAGGCAGTGATGTGCGGGTAAGTGTCCTTTCACATCCTGTGCTGGTTCACATGACAGCATGTTGTCAGAAAACCCCAATAATTTTCTAACAATAAACAACATCGCCATCACCATCACCTTTTATTGATCTAGTACAGGGCTGTCCAAACTCGGTCCTGGAGGGCCGGTGTCCTGCAGGGACACCGGCCCTCCAGGACCGAGTTTGGACAGCCCTTCTAGTATGACATGGAATGTTCTAGCTGTTGAAATGTAGAACACCGTGCTAAAACAAAATCCTGTTAATTGACATGTTTTGTCATTTAATGTGACAGTTATGACATTGCTTATCATTTCTAAATGGGCAGAACCAAACAGGCTCATTCTTAATTTCTTTGTACATATTTGGTATAATTGGGTTTTTGTCCCAAAGAGTTTGTTTTCCTCACTAAATGGTAGAGTATAAAAACCACACCTAAATTTTTTCATGTTGTATTATAGACTCCCATGCGATATCTGTACTTACTCTCCAAAACTCCAAGTCACACACTGTTACATCAGGGCTGAGCACTGTGTGGAATCTGAGTAATGCTGCATACAGGCAGTCTCACTCCATAGTTTCACCCATTACAGGCAACGTGACAGTGAACTATCAATACATCACATATGTCAGTGCATCTCACACATATTAAATAACTTGCTGGTAGTACATCATGTGCCATGAAGTGTCCTGAAGCTCACAGTAAAACACTGGAATATTTTCAGTGGTAAATACTGTACACAGTTACTGGATGAATTAAAATAGCTGACATGTACAGCATATCATTAATCAATATTATTGAATTAAGTTGTTTGACCAACATAAACACGCACAGTGGGAGTTTATTCTTGTTTTTTGATTGTTTGAACTGTTTTGAATTGCTATATATTATATACGTTATATATGTATAAATATTATAACATAGTTAACATGATATAGTATTGTTTCCTGTTGTCACATTTTCTATTTATTTAAATTCTTTTATTTGGATTGTGTTTGAGTAATGACTGAAGGCAGGGCAGTGATTGATTTTAGGTTTTATGTAAACAGATCATATCAGTTTATTGTTCATTTCAGTCTAGTCTGTGGTTTAAGGTAACATAAACTGTGCCATTTGGGGTTTAGCACTTAAGAGTTAGCTCTCAAAGTTTGTTCAGCTACATGTATGTGTGTAATATTTCTGAATCTGTACTTGTGTGTGTGTTTAGGGTCTTGCTAATCTGTTCATGGAAGACTTGATGCCCTATCTGGAGAAAGAACTGCAGCCATGTTTGAAGAGCAAGAGGGCAGACAAGAGGAGAGTGTGGTTTGCGGTGCGTTTCTTTCCTATTTAGATCTTCTACTTTAGATCTCCGACTGAATTTATTGTACAGATAAATTCCTATTATGGCATTGGGTTTCTCCAGAACCTGTCCTTGATACTTGAAATTGGGGTGTGATGTTGACGTACATGTTGGATGCCCCACACCCAAATAGCTTTAGGCCAGGGAGGCCAGAAATGTCCCTATGGTGTTTCCTAAAGGGTGGAACAAACCAGAAGCATACTAGAAACACATTCCATTCCATAGCTGTGATTACTGACAAAGAATGATTAATAGAACACTTCTGAATGATTCATGTTATTAATGAATGATCTTGACCCCAGCCATTTGTCTTATAGATGGTTGAAGCTGCTTATTTCCTGCTGCAAGAGCATCTGCTGGAGAGGATATCCTCACTGAAGCAGGAGTGCCAAGAGATGGTGAAACAGCAGGAGGTGCTCATGCGCTCTGATATGGACCAGATCACCAGCTCAAGAGCATTCCTGGAGGGCAAACTCAGAGGTACATGATCACGCTAAAAATAAGCCCATTTCTTGCTTTTAAGCTTATATATATACACACACACACACAATCTCTCACTGGCCAAACATCTACTATAATACAGTTTACACTACCCTTCAAAAGTTTGGGGTCACAAAGATTTTTTTTTTGTTTAAGAAATTAATATTTTTATTCTGCAAGGGTGCAATAAAAGTGAGCTTAAAGAAATGTATAATGCTACAAAAAGTTTATTTTTCAAATAAATGCTGTTTTCTTTTGAAATTTTCTATTCATAAAAGAATCCTGAAAAAAAAAGATCACGGTTTCTACAAAAATATTAAGCAGCACAAGTAGTATTTAGTATTTACAAGAATAAGAAATGTTTCTTCAGCACCAATTTAACATATTAATGATTTCTGAAAAATCATGTGACACTGAAGACTAGAGTTAGAATATATTAAAATAGAAAACATTAATTTTGAATTGTAATATTATTTCCCAATATTGCCATACATATTTATACATTTATTTATACATAATAAATATACAGTACACACATATATATTATGTAAACAAAAACTTTTATTTTGGATGCGATTAATCGTTTGACAGCACTAATAT